TCACCTGAGCCGAAGGCTCAAGTGAGCTTTTCTGATCACATTTTGTCCGATGTCCGTCCGTCCGTCTGTCCGTCTGTCTGTCTGTCCGTCCGTCTGTAAACTTTTCATATTTTTGACTTCTTCTCAAGGACCACTGGGCCAATTTTGACCAAACTTGGTACAAAGCATCCTTGGGTGAAGGGGAATTTAAATTATTAAAATGAAGGGCCAAGTCCCCTCACAAGGGGAGATAATCAAGAGAAGACAAAAATAGGGTGGGGTCATTAAAAAATCTTCTTCTCAAGAACCACAGGGCCAGTAAAGCTGAAACTTATATGGAAGCATCCTGGGGTAGTGTAGATTCTAAATTGTTCAAATCATGACCCCCGGGGGTAGGGCGGGGCCACAATGTGGAATCAATGTTTTACATAGAAATATATAGGAAAAATCTTTAAAAATCTTCTTCTCAAGAACCACTGAGCCAGAAAAGCTGAAACTTATGTGGAAGCATCCTGGGATAGTGTAGATTCTAAATTGTAAAAATCATGACCCCCGGGGGTAGGGCGGGGCCACAATAGGGAATCCAAGTTTTACATTGAAATATATAGGAAAAATCTTTAAAAATCTTCTTCTCAAGAACCACTGGGCCAGAAAAGCTGAAACTTATGTGGAAGCATCCTGGGGTAGTGTAGATTCTAAATTGTTCAAATCATGACCCCCGGGGGTAGGGCGGGGCCAAAATAGGGAATCCAAGTTTTACATTGAAATATATAGGAAAAATCTTTAAAAATCTTCTTCTCAAGAACCACTGGGCCAGAAAAGCTGAAACTTATGTGGAAGCATCCTGGGGTAGTGTAGATTCTAAATTGTTCAAATCATGACCCCAGGGGGTAGGGCGGGGCCACAATAGGGAATCCAAGTTTTACATTGAAATATATAGGAAAAATCTTTAAAAATCTTCTTCTCAAGAACCACTGGGCCAGAAAAGCTGAAACTTATGTGGAAGCATCCTGGGGTATTGTAGATTCCAAATTGTTCAAATCATGACCCCCGGGGGTAGGGCGGGGCCACAATAGGGAATCCAAGTTTTACATTGAAATATATAGGAAAAATCTTTAAAAATCTTCTTCTCAAGAACCACTGGGCCAGAAAAGCTGAAACTTATGTGGAAGCATCCTGGGGTAGTGTAGATTCTAAATTGTTCAAATCATGACCCCAGGGGGTAGGGCGGGGCCACAATAGGGAATCCAAGTTTTACATTGAAATATATAGGAAAAATCTTTAAAAATCTTCTTCTCAAGAACCACTGGGCCAGAAAAGCTGAAACTTATGTGGAAGCATCCTGGGGTAGTGTACACTCTAAATTGTTCAAATCATGACCCCCGGGGGTGGGGAGGGGCCACAATAGGAAATCCAAGTTTTACATTGAAATATATAGGAAAAATCTTTAAAAATCTTCTTCTCAAGAACCACTGGGCCAGAAAAGCTGAAACTTATGTGGAAGCATCCTCAAGTAGTGTACACTCTAAATTGTTGAAATCATGACCCAGGGGATAGGGCGGGGCCACAATAGGGGGAATCCCAAGTTTTACATTGAAATATATAGGAAAAATCTTTAAAAATCTTCTCAAGAACCACTGGACCAGAAAAACTGAAACTTATGTGGAAGCATCCTGGGGTAGTGTAGATTCTAAATTGTTCAAATCATGGCCCCTTGGGGGAGGGTGGGACCACAATAGGTATTACAAGGGGGGAGTCTGGTAATGAACAGCATGGCCAAAGTTACTCAGGTGAGCGATGTGGCCCATGGGCCTCTTGTTTTAGAGGTTCTCATATCCTACTTTCTTTCCACAGACAAAATAAACATTTGGAAAAACATCTAAACAAATATGGAATAAACATAATTCAGTTAATACTACTGTTCATAAAAGTAATATTTTATAGATTTTTACCATGTAAATTTTCATGTTGGTCCATATTGCAAGAAGAAATTACTCTACATTTCCATCTTTGCAATAAAAAATTACACCGTTACTTCTTAAGCTCAAGATTTTGTCTACCCTTTGTTTTTGTTTGTTCCACACTTTTGAAGTTGGAGGGGATATAGTAACGCAATTGTGTGTATTTGGGTGAGTGAGTGTGTGCGTAACGGAAGTAATAATTTACATCAAGATCAATGTGCTTGTGTACAAGGGGATGCTCCGCTTAGTGTTGCCCTGTTTTTCAGTGTTATTACAATCACTCAGATGACTTTAATAATGCTATCCAATTTTGTTTGTTATCGACATCATCCTTAATCTTTTGAACCAGATTTTGCTCAGATTTCTCAAGACCCTTTGGTTTTGCACAAAAATGTGCAGATTTTAGTTTGGATTTCCTCTATTCTTACATTATTGTCTTTAGAGTTCACTCAGCACTTTGCACTATTCATTTTGCTTGGTTTAACATCTGTGGGTAAAGAAGTATGACTATTTTGAATGTTGTGGTCCCTGCATGTCCACAGATTCCCTAGGGGTAGTGCTAAAACAAACATAAGTAATGCTTTTTGAGTCTGTCACAGCCATGAATCTAAGCTCATTTGGACAGAGTCAGGTCATTGCGAGGAAAACATGAATTTCTTCTTCATGTTAAAGCTTCTTACTGATAAAACAATCCCACATGATGGTCATTATAAAGTTGAAAATATATGAAATTAAATTATTTTATGTATTTGAGAGTGTGGAAATGCTCTTGCTTCTTAAGTGACTACCAAACCCCAAATATGTAAACTACACTTGTAAATCTTTTTAATGTCAAGTACTAGTATTAAATATATGTCATATATATTTTACATACTTTGATTGCACACTACTTGAATGATTGTGATGTATCTTTTTTGTAGGGATATGGTATGGTGACTTTAGAGGAATGGAAATTGAATAGCAGTGGAGAAATTGAATGTACAGGTCCAAATAACTATAATCTTCCATATGTTGGAAGTTTACCAAATGACTTTAATGTGACTCTTCTCAGCGACTGCCCCAAGGAACAAACTGTCTACTCCTCTAAGGTATAGACAAGCTGTCCACTCCTCTAAGGTATAGACAAGCTGTCTACTCATTTAAGGTATAGACAAGCTGTCTACTCATTTAAGGTATAGACAAGCTGTCTACTCCTCTAAGGTATAGAAAAACTGTCTACTTCTCTAAGGTAAAAATAAGCTGTCAACTCCTCTAAGGTATAGAAAAGCTGTCTACTCCTCTAAGGTAAAACAAGCTGTCTACTCCTCTAAGGTATAAACAAGCTGTCTACTCCTCTAAGGTATAGAAAAGCTGTCTACTCCTCTAAGGTAAAACAAGCTGTCTACTCCTGTAAGGTATAGACAAGCTGTCTACTCATTTAAGGTATAGACAAGCTGTCTACTCCTGTAAGGTATAGACAAGCTGTCTACTTCTCTAAGGTAAAACCAAGCTGTCTACTCCTCTAAGGTATAGAAAAGCTGTCTACTCCTCTAAGGTAAAAACAAGCTGTCTACTCCTCTAAGGTATAGAAAAGCTGTCTACTCCTCTAAGGTAAAAATAAGCTGTCTACTCCTCTAAGGTATAGAAAAGCTGTCTACTCCTGTAAGGTATAGACAAGCTGTCTACTTCTCTAAGGTATAAACAAGCTGTCTACTCCTGTAAGGTATGGAAAAGCTGTCTACTCCTCTAAGGTAAAAACAAGCTGTCTACCTCTCAAAGGTATAGACAAGCTGTCTACTCCTGTAAGGTATGGAAAAGCTGTCTACTCCTCTAAGGTAAAAACAAGCTGTCTACTTCTCTAAGGTAAAAATAAGCTGTCTACTCCTCCAAGGTAAAAACAAGCTGTCTACTCCTCTAAGGTAAAAATAAGCTGTCTACTCCTCTAAGGTATAGAAAAGCTGTCTACTCCTGTAAGGTATAGACAAGCTGTCTACTTCTCTAAGGTATAAACAAGCTGTCTACTCCTCTAAGGTATAGAAAAGCTGTGTACTCCTCTAAGGTAAAAACAAGCTGTCTACTCCTCTAAGGTATAGACAAGCTGTCTACTCCTCTAAGGTAAAAACAAGCTGTCTACTCCTCTAAGGTATAGACAAGCTGTCTACTCCTCTAAGGTAAAAATAAGCTGTCTACTCCTCTAAGGTATAAACAAGCTATCTACTCCTCTAAGGTTTAGACAAGCTGTCTACTCCTCTAAGGTATAAACAAGCTGTCTACCCCTCTAAGGTAAAATCTCTAGGTAAATTTATTTACTGAATATGTAGTCAACTATCTGTAATTTATTAAACAATCACATAATTAAAACTTTTTATAGTAAATCTCAGTAATACCCTAAAGAAGAATTAAAAAGTATCTCAATCATTTGACATGGTAAATTAATTTCATTATGTTGCCCCTTTGGTACAAAGGAAAGGAGTCTTGTCAGTTCTCTAGGTATTCATCAACATCTCCTTTCACAAATATCAGAGAAACGAGACACTTCAGAATGGAATTAATATAAATGTGAAGAAATGTAAATATGGAAATACATTATAGAGTTTCTATGGAATGATATGTCACATATTGTCTTGGTTTTACAGGGGATAGGAGAACCCCCACTGTTGTTGGCCATAACAGTCCACAAAGCTATCAGGTCAGCTGTGTTAGCTTCCAGGAAAGACAAAGGGCTGACTGAATATGTCCAATTGGATTGTCCAGTAACATCGACAAAAGTACTTAAAGTCTGCAGTGACAGTGTCCTAACTTGAAAAAAGTTAAAAGTACTCAAATTTTGCAAAAAAAGTGTCCTTACTAAAGCCAGGAATGAAAGTATTCTTAATTCCTGTGAGGGGAATAAAATACATGTACATTGTGTAGTCTAGTGTGGTACTTACTGGATATCTATAAATGCATAATTTTGTTTCTATTTAGCTGAAATGTATACACACAGTATTTATGAAACAGGAGTGAAAAGAATGATTATCAAATTAACTTGTATACTACAGGTGTATTTAATTATTTTTTTCAAATAAACATTTTATACAGCCGATTGTTTTTCTTGAAAGTAATGTACATTTCTATTGATTCCTTATTTCATAAAACATTGCTAAATTTTTCAAAGCATCCAAGACATCTGTGATATCATATTACTTAAGATGACGGGGGTCTGAAAAAAAAAAAACAATGGATGGGACCACCATTTAAGTTAGGGCAAAGTTGACTTCGGTCGTCGGTGTTGCCAGGCGGTTCAGAAATTCTTTGGGAAGTTACAGATGTGTTCAAGTCCTGTCTGTTAGTACTGGAGGAACAGCACTCTAGACTGCTTGACCATCTTGGCAAGCAGTTTTGCAATAGATGATTCCTAGATTTGGATAAAAAGCCCGCAGGTTCAGTGTAACACCTGAATGTTTTACTAAACAAAATGGTCATGAACGACACACGAAATGTGGCTGTGTCTTGTCATGTTGAAGGATAAATTAGTTTACCCGATTTCTGATGATTGGAAGGACGCTCAGATCGCCACTTCACCGTAAAAAAGGGGGGTGTACATCGGGAGTGGTGCAAAGGAGAGATTTGTCTGTTATTATTTTGATACTTGATAAAGTTTTAACCTCAGTAACAACTAACATTCATTAATCTCCCAATCTAGTTGTAAAATCTATTTGGATTGTTTACTCAGTGTGTTTATTTTTTTTTCTTTCTCTGTTTTCCTCATAAGTCCTAATTTTGACTACTTTTGAACTCGATGATGGATATTCATACAAACTACCGGTAGACTTGTATGATGCTTATTTTGTTTTACAGATAAGAAAGAGGGAAAACGCATCTTAATGAAATATGTGGAGATAACGAATAGTTTTCGAGCTCAAAAGTCCATTAAACATAACAAAATAGGAGCAGAGCAAACACGGACCTCTAAGACATCAGAGGTTGGATCAGGTGCCATGGAGGAGTGAGCATCCCCTGCCGACCGGTCACACCCGCCGTGTGCTCCTTGTCATGATCGGGAAATAACGGAAAAACTCGTCGACAATTCAGTGTGTAAAAAATGGCCTAACAGTTAGTATGGAAAAAGTCAGTCAGCATTTGACTTAATGATAGATTGTATTTGCTGACAATGTCATTGTATCGACCATAGAACTTACGAAATGATGACTTTAAACGAGATTGCTGATATTCTTGTTTCATCAACTTGTTTGTCAATAACTTACCTCGTTTCAGAAATTGTTCATACGTAGATCATGTTCTGGCGTATCAAATCAACTGAGAGATATAAACCCCGTATGCAGGTGATAAAGGTATATTGCTGCATAAGTAAGGGAAATTAAATTATAGCATTGATTAGATAGAAATGAATATATTTTAAGTATGTTTTTTGTATGAAATCCGGGCTAATTTATACCGTATTCGCTTACGCGTAATTTTTTTGGAGTGAGTAAGTAAAATATTGTATTATTTGATCCGTGCGCTTCATCGATGGAAGAGCCTATACTTCTTTAAAAAAAAAATCATACATAGGACTTTAGAAACAAAAGCATAGTTAAAATGTATAAACTTGAAATTGTGGTGAAGTGTAGGTGTGGGGGTGTCTCCCTGTTTGACTATCTTTAACAAGAGGGGAAAAAATCATTCGACAATCTTACATCTCGAACATTTACTGGTAACTACATCATTATATTTTCAATCATTAAGTGTGAGGGCACAGTCGGGAATTGAATCTTCCAGCTACATTTTAAGTGACACCCCCCTTCCTCTGACTACTCCTATGCGTAAAATTTTAACAAATTTGTCTAAAAATTTTTTTTACAATATCTAAGACTTATTGAAATTACATGAATAATTAAGTCCTTTAAATGTTCACGTAATAGATATATGAATGTAGAAAAACGCTTTAAAATTTTTTTTTTAATCTTTTTTTTTCGGAATGGTCCTCATCAAATTTTATCAATTTCACGGCCAGGACACTAGATTTTCTTGGAATTTTATTGAAAATTCTCACAGTTTGAAAAACCTTTTTTCAGATGCTTTTTGTACAAACCTGGATCAGAGGCGGATCCAGAATTTTTTTTGCCGGGGGGGGGGGGGGGGGGGGTCCACATCAGCTCTAACAAATGTCATACTCAGGAATTTTTATGACAAGCAAAAAAAAAAAAAAAAAAAAAAAAAAAAAAAAAAAAAAAAGGAAAGAAAAGAAAAGGAAACAACTTGCTAAAACATGAAAAACCTATTTCGTTTTTTTCCCTTTTTTTTGGGGGGGGGGGGGATAAGAAAATACCACTTTGACACTTTTCCAAAGTCAATTTCTTCAGATACAATACTCTCTTTTCATTTTAAGAGGGATCTTTGTTTCCTAGAAGGTTCCAAGGTCATTTTATTTCGATACTTTTACATAGAAATGCAATAACTCTGGAAATTCCAAAGGGTGTCCGAACCGCCCCCGACCATCCTTTAGATCCGCCCTTGTGGATGGAAGTATAACTTTATTTCTAGTAGTTAGTAATAGATCTGATTTTAATATACCTCTTTTAATATTTCAATTAAAGTTGCGATCTGTTCAGCTATTTACCTGTAAGTTTGTAAACTGGTATCCAATAAACACTACCCGTTTTATTATCCAATCAAAAAATCTATAACAGTTACACTGTTAATTTAACCAATCGTCACCCCTTTAACAAATTTACCTGCTCAGGTGAACGAAAACAACAAGTACATTCGTGACACTGACCACCGTATAGAAAATTATTTACGCATCTATCTAAAAATGGTATGTATGTTAACGACATTCAATGAATTCTTTCGATTTGCACAAATTCAGTTAACAGGTATGTAATTGAATTGCATGTGTTTTAACATGTCCATTTATGTGCTTTGCTTACATGGGTAATTTTATTCATTCATCACCAATTACTTTGAGTGACTATACTTTCAGTTAATAACTGCATGCACAATCCACTGTGATGAATATATGATATACTTAAATTTTATATTATATGCTTATAGTATTCTAATCATCATTTTTTTTTACTTTAGTTTAAAAGGTTTAAATTTAGCTTTACATATAGAGGTACCTACTTCTTTGATAGAAATTTAACAAATCAGAAATGCCAGATAAAAGATTGTTCTAAAACCTGCACCTTGCTGAAAAAATTTTACACTGTAATTCCTGGAAATACAAGTATTGATTTTAGTGTTTGGTACAGTTCAAAATGTTTTGTGAATATCCGTAGTTTATTGATTTTTTTCTCCGTTTGGAAATCCAGCGAAGTGTGTCACTACAATTAATGTAAATTGTTGTTCCATTATATAACACTTAAATGTGTATTTTTCTGAATTGAGGCAATTTAATGTAAATTAATACTAGAATTCCGTGGCCTTTCATGCAGAAGTAGTGAATTATTTTCTCTGTGCATTTTTTTTTTTTACATTACAGGTCTGTTTGTTGTTGTTTTTGAAAGAACTATTCCTCTTGTAAACTGTTCCAAGATATACGATTGGTAATTCTTGGCTCCGGAATTATAATACCTTTCGTCAAAGTTTTCCAAATTTTTCAAAAAGTTAAATATTGCTTGAAAAGTTGTTTACCATAAACACTAATTAAATCCTTTTTTATTAGGCGGATCAAGAGCACAGCGAGGAGCAGATAGAAGTTTGGCGACAAGCGTTCGATATTTTCGACAAGAACAAGGATGGTCACATCAGTCTACGAGAATTAGACACTGTGGTCCGCAGTATGGGCCTAAATCCCACCATGAAAGATCTCCGGACATTTATTAAAGAGGTCGACCAGAACCGTGAGTCTGTTATTATAGTTCACATATAAATATTCAAAGCAAAATATTTAATTTAATGAACAGACGGCTTAAACAGCTAGGGAAAAGCGGGGGGTGGGGGAAACGTCAATCGATTTGAAGGACCGGTTGTAATACTACATAAGAGACAAACAATATTCATACTGCTTTGTTTTATTTTTAAGTGAATGCAAGTATTTTGAAGCAAATTGAAAAGAAAACGGAGCAAATATCGGGGTGGGCGTTGTGTGCCCCCCTTTTCACTATTTTTGCTGATAAAGTCTAAGTCACCAAGTGACCAAAGCAATAAATATTAGTACGAATGTACATATAATACAGTAATTTCCTGTTGAATATTCCTCTTTATAACCAGAGATATTTGTTTTATCAGGTGATGGTAAAATTCAATTTGAAGACTTCAAAATTTTGATGTCCAAAATTTACGTATCACAAACTCCAGAAGAACAACAAAAAGATATAGAGGGCGCCTTCAAAATATTCGATAAAAATGGAAACGGTGTGATTGAAAGGGCGGAGCTAGTGAGGATAGCCACGACGTTAGGAGAACCGCTAACAGAGGAAGAAGCAGAGCAGATGATCCGAATAGCTGACGCTAATAAAGACGGATTAATTGATTACAAAGGTCAGTCTATATATATGTATATATATATATATATATATATATATATATATATATATATATATATATCGGTATATATATATATATATACTATGCAAGCCTTGCAATTTGCTCTTCAATATACTGAGTATTTTGTAATTTTTTCGATTTCTACGATAATTTGTCCAATATTTTTTCTTAATCATGAGCAATTTTGATACTTACAATTAGCAGATGTTAGAAGCATTGCCATTCATATCATTACTATTATTTTTATTGAGTATATTTTTTTTAATGAGAAGATTTCTGTTTTCAGAATTTACAAAGTTCATTACTAGACCAGTCCTGAATACGACTCCTCTGGGACAGTGATTTCGACGTAAAATATGGTCTTTGGCAGCATGGAAATTAGATCTTTTAGCATTTTACTTCGAGGGAAGGTTTCTGATATTAATTCATCATCTGACTCCAGAATCCATTAGGAAATGTTTTACTGGCATTTCTAGACAATATATAGAACTAATGCTTTAGTTTATTACCGAATATTAATCCACCCTTTTCCGATCGAAGTGGATAACGATGTTGGATTTTCGCCTCACGCAAAGTTGAGATATGAATACATGTCTGTCCATTTTGAA